CAAAGAAAACTGCCTTTCCCTGTGGTGGGAAAAAATTAAGATGGACTCCTGTAACTCTGTTCAGTATTGTGTAACAACCCAAATGGGAAAAGAATTTGAAAAAGAATAGATACATGTGTATGTGTAACTGAATCACTTGGCCGTACACCTGAAACTAACACAACATTGTTCATCAACTAGACTCCAATTAAAATAAAAAGTTAGAAAAAAAAAAAAAAAGATCGGCTCCTATGAACCACAGCATCTGCTACTAGAGTGTCCTTCAGTTCTGGGACACCCTCCTCCCAGAAATTAATTTATCATGAATGTAGTGCCCCCTTGTGTCTCATAGGCATAACTACAGGTTTTTCCAAATGAGAGTCCCCAAATGGGGACTTGCAGGTTTTCCAGAGATTAAGTGCAACCAATAAAAAAAAAAATTCCAGGACAAAAAAACCACCAGACCTACTAAGAAAAAAGCCACCATGAATTAAGGCATCAGGAGAAACAAAAGCAACAGATTTAGCCCGCCAGGATTTCAGGTATTATACTCAGCAAATAATAGAATTTAAAATAACCATGCAAAAAAATAATAATAATAATAATAATAAATAAAATAAAATAACCATGCATGAAAGATCTAAATATAGAAAAGAATTAAAAGAGAGGAAACAAGAGAGTATAAAAATGACTATAGGGCTTCCTTGGTGGCTCACTGGTAAAGAATCCACCTGCCAATGTAGGAGGCATGGGTTGGATCCCTGGTCCAGGAAGATCCCACATATCTCGGGGCAACTAAGTCCATGTGCCACAACTACTGAGCCCGTACACTGCAACAAGAGAAGCCGCTGCAATGAGAAGCCCGTGCACCGCAACTGAAGAGCAGCCCCTACTCACTGCAACTAGAGAAAAGTTCTGTGCAGCAACAAAGGCCCAGCACAGGCAAAAATAAATACATAAAATCATTTTTTAAAAAGTTTAAAAAAATGATGTATTGTTCTTGTTCAGTCGTGTCTGATTCTTTGCGGCCCCGTGGACTGCAGCATGCCAGGCTTCCCTGTCCATCACCAACTCCTGGAGCTTGCTCAAACTCATGTCCACCGAGGCGGTGATGCCATCCAACCATCTCATCCTCTGTCATCCCCTTCCCTTACTGCCTTCAGTCTTTCCCAGCATCAGGGTCTTTTCCAATGAGTTGGCTCTTGGCATCACATAGCCAAAGTATTGGAGCTTCAGCTTCAGCAACAGTCCTTCCAATGAATATTCAGGACTGATTTCCTTTAGGATTGACAAGCTTGATGCTGCAGTCCAAGGGACTCTCAAGAGCCTTCTCCAACACCACAGTTCAAAAGCATTAATTCTTCAGCATTCAGCCTTCTTTATGGTCCAACTCTCACATCCATACATGACTACNTCTAAATCTAGCCTATACATCTGGAAGTCCTTGGTTCACGTACTGTTGAAACCTAGCTTGGAGAATTTTGAGCATTACTTTGCTAGCATGTGAAGTGAGTGCAACTGTGCCTTAGTTTGAGCATTCTTTGGCATTGCCTTTCTTTGGGATTGGAATGAAAACTGACCTTTTCCAGTCCTGTGGAGCTTCCAGTCCTGTGGAGTCCCTGCTGAGTTTTCCAAATTTGCTGGCATATTGAGTGCAGCACTTTCACAGCATCATCTTTCAGGATTTGAACTAGCTCAGCTGGAATTCCATCATCTCCACTAGCTTTGTCCGCAGTGATGCTTCCTAAGGCCCACCTGACTTCACACTCCAGGATGTCTGACTCTAGGCGAGTGATCTCACCATCGTGGTTATCTGGGTCATGAAGATATTTTTTGTACAGTTCTTCTGTGCATTCTTGCCACCTCTTCTTAATATCTTCTGCTTCTGTTAGGTCCACACCATTTCTGTCCTTTATTGTGCCCATCTTTGCATGAAATATTCCCCTGGTATCTCTAATTTTCTTGAAGAGATCTCTAGCCTTTCCCATTCTATTGTTTTTCTCTATTTCTTTGCATTGAAAAAAATGATTATATATATTAAAAAAAACAACCCAAAAGAATTGTCACTGCTGAAGAGAACTGGAAGGTAGATGGGGAGAAATTTCTCACAGGACAATGCAGATATAAGAAGACAGGGAACCGATCTTCCTGCTTTGGGGATCTCTGCATCCCACATTCATTATCTCAAGACTGATGCTGCTGATGAATATAAAAACAACAACAATAATTCCTATTGTGTGCATGCGTGCTCAGTCATTTCCAACTATTTTCTGGCCCCATGGACTGTAGCCCACCAGGCTCCTGTGTCCAAGGGATTTCCCAGGCAAGAATACTGGAGTGGGTTGCCATTTCCTTTTTCAGGGGATCTTCCCGACCAGGGATCGAACCCGTGACTCCTGCATTGGCAGGAGGATTGTTTACTACTGAGCCACCAGGGAAGCCCTCTCTAGAACGTCGTTATTTTATTTTCATCTTGCACTGATTGCTGTCCAAAATGACCACGTGTATCTCTTTACTTGTCTCTTCTCTATCCCGTCTACCAGGAAAGAAGGGCTTAGCGAGGAAGAGCCTCTTTTTTCTCTCTGTCTTGTTCAGCACTAGCTTCAGGTCCTGGAACAGGACTCACTTCACAAGCACAGCATTCAGCAAATGTCAGTGAACGCTGCTTAGTTGAGCACATGGAGCCACTCAGGACGAGGTAAGCATGACACCTGGAAACAAAACAAGCAAGGAAGACGTAATGGATGGGTTAAAAAAGAAAAGGAAAAGGCTCTGGGATGAAGTCAATGAGGAAACCCTGTGCTGTATCCTGCTCCTCCAACAGGAGTAGGACCCCCGGGAACACAGCTTATCCATCCCCTGTTACTCTGGTCAGGTCTTTACAGATCCTGTGTTTTGGCTTCAACATTTAAAGAGTTATGTCAGGACTGGAATAACTTCAGAAAAAGGACAACTTAAATGAGTACAGGCAGGGGGACTTCCCTGGTGGCCCAGTGGCTAAGACTCTCACTCTCAGGGCAGGGGCCCCAGGTTCCATCAGGGAACTAGGTCCCACATGCTGCAACTAAGAGTTTGTACGCCTCAACTCAAGATCCCGAGTGCTGCAACCAAGACCCAGAGCAGGGAGATAAATAAATATAAGGAAAAAGGAATGAATGCAGGTAGGAAAGCAGAATCTGTGGGGAAAGACAGATGACTTGGGATCTTATGCTGTGAATGGAAAGCTGACAAGAAGCTTCAGAACAGTTTACGAGTGGACCGTGACATACCTTTGTCTCACTGTTGAGCAGCCAGGCGTGGAGGTGGTCAGTGAGGACGATGAGCCAAAATGAAAGGACAGTCGGCCTTTATTCGCTGAGGTGTCCCTGTGAGGGGCAGAAAGAGGCACCAGCTCCCCAGGGGCCCATTTTCACCAGTCTGGAGAGGAGGGTCAGATGGCAGGCTGCTGAAGGGGCTCCTTCCTCTTTATGGGCTCTGGGGGTTGGAGTGGGGGAGGGAGGGAGAGAAGGGCTGGGAGTGAAAAATGCTGCATCAAGGTGGAAGAAGTGTCTCAGCTCACAACCCCAGTAAGGATCCCAGTAAGCCCCAGTAAGGGTCTTGGCTGAGGCCCCATGGGGAGGAGCCTGGGCTGGAGATGCACAGCTGGCCTGCATCCTTGCCAGTGATGCCCCCCGAAAACTGCACCGTGCCGGCTTGTGATTCCTGCAGTCGACCTGAAAGACCACATGTAAGATTTCTGCCAGGAGCTGACTCCTCACCAGCCTGAGTCTGTCTGCAACCAAAGTCCTGATCCTTTCCAGGTAAACCATTCTCTTCCTGCCCTGCTCCCTGGATCTGGCTCGGGCTGCCCCATCTCTCACGGGGACCAGTGAGAGTTTCTCTTCCTCTAGGTCTCACATCTCTGACCCAACTCCACACCTCAGTTTTCTAGAACCTTACAAATAATCTGTCCCCACCATGACTGAAACTCTTTGGGGGTGCCCCACTGCTAGGCTCGGTGGGCTCCAGGCCTCTTCTGCTGCCCCCGGGCCTCCCTGTGCGCTCTGGGAAAAGTTGCCTCCGTGCCTGCTGCCCTTTGGCCAGGACTGTCCTTGCCTCTCCTGTCTGTCCTTCAGCTGCAACTCAAAGCTCCCCTCCTCCGGAGGCTTCCTAGGCTCACAGTCCTGACATGCTTTTACGATTACTGTTAATCGCACTCCACAGCCACTGTCTGCAAGGTCCTGCCTGGCAGGGACACTATCTTTGCAACCTTGCCCTCAACAAGCCTTGCTAAAGAGATGTGAAATAATCAGACAAATGAAAAAAAAAAAAAGAATGAATGACTTCCAAGTTCTGGCTCCTTCTATTTCCCTAGAATGTTCCTAGCTGCCCCTTTTCCTTTCTCAGACACCACCCCAATAGAGGTGAATTCCCAAAAGAGGGAAATGATCAGAGAAGCAGAATGTCCTGAGAATCTGTCTGTTAGCCCATGAGGAATCCTCATGCCCAGGGTTCCTTCTTGCTGGAATTCTGGGAGAGGAGGTTCATTCCTGGTCATTCTCAGACAACTCTAGACAGCTGCATGGCAGCAATCCTTGGCAATCAGTTTAAAAAATCTGAGTCTTGGGACTTCCTTGGTGATCCAGTGGTTAAGACTTCGTCTTCCAATGTAGGGCATGAGGGTTCATCCTGGTTGGGGAGCTAAGATCCTGCATACTTTGAGGTCAAAAACCAAAACATAAAACAGAAACAATATTGTAACAAATTTAATAAAGACTTTAAAAGTGGCCTGCATAAAACAAAAACAAAAAAACCTGAGTTGAAAGTTTCTATACCCTCCTCCCATGAAAATAATGGGCTTCCCAGGGGGCACAGTGGTAAAGAATCTGCCTGCCAATGCAGGAGATGCAAGAGACGCTGATTAGATCCCTGGGTCAGTAAGATCCCCTTGGGGAGAAAATGGCAACCTACTCCAGGATTCTTGCGTGGAAAATTCCATGGACAAAGGAGCCTGGTGAGTTATAGTCCATGGTGTTGCAAAAAGTCAGACATGACTGAGCACACATACACACATGAAAATAACACCTTGGCCTCTTTTCTGATTAAAAGCTTTATTTCCAGAAGCAGAACTGTTTTGAACACGGAGTTCAAGGGGTCTGTCTGTCTGTAAAGCCCTATTCCACCTTCCTAAGTCCCAGCCTCCACAGAGGTTCAGAAACTATGCAGCTGAGCTTCACTACCCAATGCCCTGTCTTTAGACTCTCTTCTCAGGGCTTGGACAACTTTTGCTCAGAGCCTAGACTTGGTCTCCCAACTTGTCTCCCTTCAACACCTTTCACAAAAGCTCCATTTCCACGGGAAAGAGACCAGCCCCCAACCTGCCTTCTGAGAGAGGGCGTTTCCATGGGAAACAGGAGAGGAGGGGGCTTCGGCAGGAAGGGCCCTTCACAGGCAGCAGAGTCGCTCCACCCCCTCCTCACAGGCATAGAAATTTTCAAATAGCTCCGGGGTGGTGCCACTGCACTCCAACCACCTCCTCAAGGTGCCCAGAGCCCGGAGGGCATCGGCCTTGGTGGGCAGGGGCTCGAAGCCGTCCTCTCCGCCCCCCGCCTCGTCTGCAGGGCCCACCTCCTCTTTGCAGGCTCCAGACACAGGCTCCTCACTCTCCAGATCCACAAAGCGGGAAAATTCCTCGAGGCTCAGCCCACTGGGGACCTGAGGCACCTCTGAGGCTTGGTCCTGGGCCAGTGGTGTTTTGCCGGGAGCCAGCCCTTCCTGAACGAAGCTGCTCACAATGAGCTGGAGAGGCACCTTGGCCCAGGCCGCTGCTGCCATGTGCAGCGCATCCAGCACTGTGATGCCCATCCCGACCTCAGCCAGTGACATGCCAGCCCTATCGCTCTGGGCGGCAGCCAGCTTGCTCAACAGACGGCACCGGTAATGGGCCTTAAACGCCCGGACCACGGAGCTGGGCAGGGGCGGCGTGGGGCTCGCAGCAGACAGAGGCAAGAGCCTCACGTGGCAGAGCCCAGGCAGGCCTGCCACCTCCTCCACCACTCGGGCAGCCATCAGCAAGGCCACCTGCCGGCCCTGCTGCCCCATATCCTGATCGAACTGTGACAACCACTCCGACCAGGGGATGGCCCGGTCAGGGTGGTAGGAGGCAGGCAGGGCCTCACTGCTGACCCCGAAGAAGCATCGTGGGGCAGCCTGGGGCCCACTGACCAACAGCCGCCGTTTCTCTGTGCCCCTGCTGTTGGCACACAGCAGCACCTGCACCCGATCACATGTACCCGCTCTGCCAGGCACTGCCCGATACAGCAAGGGCACTTCAACACAGCCAAAAATGTCCTCTGGGGAGAAATCTTTAAGAGAAAGAGGGAGCTGGGCCTGGGGAGTGGGAGCTGGGGGAGGCGGCTCAGGGGGGAGTGGAGGCGCCAATATGTGGCGGGCCCCGAAGCCCACGTTGTTTCGGCGTTTCCAGCGGACCAGCCAGCCAATGCTGGGCACAAAGTCCTGGCCCAGGATGTCGGCCAGCTCCTTGGCTTTGTGGAGCAGCATGGGCCCCGTCACGTCCCAGGCCTTGGCCCGGGCAATGTGGTACCAGCAGAGGAGAGCCTCGTCGATGCCACTGTACTTGGACTCCCGCTTGCGCTTGCGCTCCCGGTTGGCCGTGCCGCTGCACCAGTCCGCCAGCAGCTTCTCTTTATTCTTGCAGATGCGGGAGATCTGAGGCTGGGAGACCTGGAAACGCCGGGCCACCTCTGACTGGGACATCTTGGACTCATCCAGGAGTTCCAGCACTTGGATCTTCTCGGCCAGGGACAGGGCGTGAAGCTTCTTCTTGCCACACAGCTCCATGGCCTCTCGGCAGCACCTTGGCAGGGAGGAAAGGGTGAACGGGGGACCAACGGTGGAGGCTACGCAGGTTAGGCGAGGCGCGCAGCAAGGAAAAGAGAGTATATGGGGCAGGGAGACAGGTTGGTGTGGAGGGGCGGGGGCAGTCCAGGGAAGGCTGGACCAGCTGGGAGAGGGCGAGGGTACCCTGGATAGGAGGTGAGAGGGCTGGGCTGAAAGGAAGGGAACAGGCCAGGCTGGGTGGGCAGTGGGCCGGGCACTGATGGGAGGCATGACAGAACAGAGCCTGGAGGGGGTGGGCCCCTGGTCAGAGGGAGAAAGGGGTCCGCGGGAGGAGGATGAATAGAGCTGAGGGGACAGCTGCAGACACAACAAAGGAGCGTGGACGGGGGAGGACAGGGGGCTGGGGCCGAGGGGGGCAGGTGTAGGGGATAATCAGAGTGGCGGGAGGAACCCCCAGGATAGGGAGGGGGTGGAAGGCCTAGGCTGAATTTAGATGAAGATGCTGGGGGCAGGGTGGTGGAGTGAATGAACAGAGTTGGGGTGACAGGTGTACAGACGACAAAGAGGGACGGACTAGGGGCTGAAGAAGCAAGTCTAATTTGGGGCTGGGTTCTGAGCAGGGAAGGCTGGGCCGGGGCCTGGCCTGGAGAGGGCGGGTGGAGCACAAGGCCGAAAGGCAGGTGCACAGGCGACAAAGGGCAGGAGGGGTTAGGAGGCCGCGGGCAGCCAGAGGGGAGGGTTGCCCTCAGCGGGGAGGCTTGTGGCCTGGGAAGGCGGAGGGACAAGCGTCCGGGACCCAGGCAGGCCAGGAGTCGGGCTCCGCAACTCGGCCGGCCTCTCCCTCTGGTGACCCGGAGTCCATTGGCGGGGCGAACCCAGTCATCCGCCTGCCCGGCCTCCCCGCCTCCCGGCCTCCAGCCCTTCCGCTCCGCACCCACCTCAGACGCTCGTCCCGCGGCTGCCGCCCCGGTCTCAGCCCTGGCTGGGGCCGGACTCCCGAGCCCCTCTCCCGGCGGCTACCGGAGAGTAGGAGAGGGACGCGCCGAGCGGACAGAGGGGCTGCGCGGTCTGCGGGCGCGCGCACCCGTTGCGCGCAGCCCGCGCGGCGGTCTCTCCGGGCTGGGAAGACTGCGGTTCGCCGCTCAGCTCCCACCAGCCGCAGCCCCGCCCCGAACCAATTAGATTGGCCTTCGGTGGAGTCTGTCCCGCCCCCGGCTAAGTCTCATTGGACATTGCCAAAGTGGCGGGTCGTCAGGTCCCCGGGGGGACGGAGCTTTCTGCAAGAAGGGAAGGCGAGGCGGAGACTGGTCGCGGCGGGAGTCCTGGATGCGCCGCCAGCCTCAGGGGGCCCGGTCCTCGGAGCCTGACAGGACTCGGCAGCGTGGACGCCGGACGTTTTCCTGGCCGTGACCCTAGGCAGCCTCCTCATCTACCAAACAGATTTCGTTCCCCTCACCCAGTGGTCTTTAAAAAAAAGAAGGTTAGAAGCCACACAAAAGATGTTACCACGGACAGCACTGACCTCAGGTCGGTCAGCCAAGATACAAGACTGTTGTAGCCACGCCTTCCGGGAAACAAACTCACTCAGAAGGACAATGCAGATAGTGGAGTGCAGTTTATTACACTGGAGGGCCCAAAGCAGAGTCTCTTCTTAGCCAAGGACCCTGACCAGTTTTTGTGAAAACCTTATATACCCGTGAAGGAGGAAACAGAACAGGCTTCATCTTGAAAGCAGGACTCCATCTTGGGCCGTACTGTGGACTTTGAGCGATATGCCCAGTATCTATGGAAACGACATACCAACTGGAAAACCAGAACCCCGGATGGAAGAGCCCCAGGGCTGGTACCTAGACTCTCCGTCACCTGAAAGAATACCCTAATTATCTGTGTAACCCAATAGAATCATAAATTTTATTATGCTTATTGGGGTATGACCACAGGCCTATTGATAATTGTCCACTGTTAACTACCTAGGCTTAAGGCATGTGAATCATGGGTTAACTTTGATTGTATCTTTCTTTTCCTTTGTTCAGACTAGTTTCAGGGAATTTGGGGAAGTGGGTTTGTGCACATACACTTAAGGTACATAAGGTTTTCACAAAAACTGGTTGAGGTCCTTGGCTAAGAGGAGACTCTGCCTTGGGCCCGCCAGTGTAATAAACTGCACTCCACTGTCTGCATTGTCCTTCTGAGTGACTTCGTTTCCCAGAACGCGTGGCTACAATACCCTCAGTGTATCTGCCCAAACCCACCTCCCCAAATTCCCTGAAACTAGTCTGAACAAAGGAAAAGACACAGTCAAAGTTAACCCGTGATTCACATGCCTTAAGCCTAGGTAGTTAACAGTGGACAATTATCAATAGGCCTGTGGTCATACCCCAATAAGCATAACAGAATTTACGATTCTATTGGGTTAGATAGATAATCAGGGTATTCTTTCATGTGACGGAGAGTCTAGGTACCAGCCCTGGGGCTCTTCCATCCGGGTTTCTGGTTTTCCAGTTGGTATATCATTTCTATAGACACTGAGCCTATCGCTCAAAGTCCACAGTATGGCCCAAGATGGAGTTCTGCTTTCAAGATGGAGCCTGTTCTTTCTCCTCCTTTAAGACTACTTGCTTGGAGCTAGTTCTGATTTAGGGCATGTGGAGATTAATTTTTATTTAGTTTTGGAATCTTTTGGCAAGACTCGAGTTCCTAAAGTCAAGATTTAGTAGTATTCCTTCCTTTGCTAGACTTCAGTTCTTTGAAGTCCAATAAAGACTTTTTAACGTGGGGTCTAGAATGCCGAATCCTCAGCTCTAGCCTGCTTTCCTCTCCCTTCACAGTCACTTGGAAGGCTGGGGCCACAGGTTGAGTCCCCTTTCTCACAGGCTTTCCTTCCCATCCCAACCCTGATCCCTCTTCCATCCTTTTATGTCCCATCCTAAATCCTCCTTCAGCAACCTTTCCAAATCTCTCAATAATACAGGGTTCTCATCAGCATTCTCATCTTCTACACTTTCTTTTAACCGTCTTATCTGGCCTTAGACTACTCAACCAGCAAGGATCATTTCACCGCTTTACTCCTCTGCTCCAGGCCTACTTCCAGGTCTAGACGAGGATGGGGGCTGTGCTGTGTCCCTAACACAATTCCAAACTGGAGCACCTGGCTCACTTAACGGAGCACAGGGGCCCAGGCCACTCACTGCCTTCCGGGAGGAAACACGCAGCTTTCAGGCTGTCCCAGAAAACCATAAGCATATTTCAGGGGCTTCATAACTGATTCATACCTTTCATACATTGGCAGGAAAAGGAAATTCATTTTTCTGCTCATAAATCTGTCTGGAGAAAGGCTGTAACACTGCACTGTGGGCTCACTCACACTGCATTCAATTAAATGAATGAATGCCAGGCAAGCAAGGTTGGGGTCTCTCATGTTCATGGCTTATGCAAAAAGTCGTGTCTCACCATGATGTCATGAGTTTTCCTGTCATTCTATTTATATAACAATCAAGCTTCTGGACCTTTTTTTAAGTATCTTAAATTGTAGGGTCAACTGTTATAAAGCTGTCATTATTTGCATGTGCAAATCCAGCAGAATTTCCCCCCAAAACACAAAAATACAGAAACAAACAGGATTCTAAAGTTATTTTTAACTGCAATTTTAAGAATTCTTTTTGCCTGCACTGGGTCTTCATTGCTACACAGGCTTTCCTCTAGCTGCAACGCTCTGGCTTTTCACTGCAGTGGCTTCTCTTGCCGGGGAGTACGGGCTCGAGGGTGCGGGCCTCAGTAGTTGCGGCTCCCAGCCTCTAGTGCACAGGCTTAAATAGTTGTGGCCCCCGGATTAGGGTTAGCTGCTCCAAGGCACACTGAATCTTCCCAGACCAGGGACTGAACCTGTTTCTCCTGTAGTGGCAGGTGGATTCTTCACCACTGAGCCACCAGGAGTGCCCCCAAACTTTGTATTAATCAAAACAACTTCATTTTTCTTTATAAGATATTGTCACAACTTAATTTACATAAAAGATTAAAACAAAGTACCCAATTTTGTATCAACTTAATCTACTAAGGTTAAGCAAAAATTTTTAGTTGGGTGAAAAGCTATGCTTCAAAACATTTAAAAACCACTGTACTAAGGAAGAAGTTTTAGGATAAAGTGGCCTTAAGCAGGAAAGGAGATCTGGAGATAAAAGAAACCAGAAGGCTCTGTGTAAAAATGTTTATTTGTACTAATGCTTAGAATATAGGAACTAAGGAAAGAAAGAAAAAAAAGACACCTCAACTCCAAAGTGACAGTGAATTAGGGCCTGCCCACAGCCAAGGGGAAGGACATTCCAGGCTGTCCTGGGATGAACAGTTCCCCCTGTTACTTAAAAGTGTCACCAGGCAGAATATTAAAGAATCAGGGTGTGAAGACCTTACCAGCTGCTAGCAAGTGTGCGAGGGAAGAAAGAGATGTCTAGGTGGCTTCCCCACGACCCAGGAGACAGGATACACAGAGCAGGCGGCAGAGGCTCCCAATTCAGTTAAGGGCAGGAGCTGAATGCCCAGGTCCAGGAAGAACAAAAAGGGGATTTCGGAGGTAGGCTTTTTCATCGAGTTAAAAAACAGGCACATTATCCAATATCTCCCAGTGGCCCCCAAGCTTCTGGCCTGGCCCCGTGATGCTTCCCCTCTCCCCACAAAACCAAAGGGAATAAGGAGGGGGGCGGGGCAGAAGACAGAAAATAACAAGGGTGGGGAATGCTTCAGTCACTAGAGACCAGGGCCTGTGAGAATGAAACAGGCAAGCACAAGGAACATCAGGGTGAGGCTGCTACTCCCCCTGGGGCAGGTCAATGGGAACGGGGTAGAGCCAGGACCAGGAGCAAGAGCGTCCTGGCTCAGGTAAAGGATCCTGGGTTGCAGGAACAGAGGGCCGCAGAAAGCCACTCGGGGAAGGAGGCGGTGAGGCTAAGCAGCACGAGGGCATGGGCAGCTGCTTGCCAGCTTGCTCAGTTCTCACTCCCAGCTGCTCTGGCATAGGCCCCAGTCTTGACTCACCTTCACAGGAAGGGAAAACCCTGGGGCCAGAGTGGAGGCCGAGCTGAGAGAAGTGAGCTGCTCTCCCACTCTTTCTCGGAGGTTTGAACCCTGTGATCACCAGGGCCTCGGCCCAAGGCAGACAGAGTGAATGCACTTAAGGGAGAGCAGGGAGAAGCTGGGCCCACAGCTATGCCCTGGAGCAGCGTGCTGCTCCCTTCTCCCTGAGGGCCTGGGGCCAGAGGTGGTCAGAGCTACCAGCTCAGCTTGCTGCTGCCAAAGGCAGGTTGGCATGACCACCCTGCGATTCTCTGGACTTGAGAAAGAGGGGGAAGGGAAAGTGGGTATGAAAAACAGAGAGGAGGAGAGAACAGCCCTAGATGTATGAGGGGTTGGGGGTGGCCACATCAAGAGGAGTTCTGATTCTGGTAGATGGAAGCTTTTTCCTTCAACAGGTCCAGACACAAGTGGCAGCTCCAACTTCCTGCAGAGAAGCATAAAGGGTTAGGAGGGTCCCTCACAATCCTCACCTGCTGTCCTTCGACCGCCACCCCTCACCTCGTGGCAGGACTGGCTACGGGTAGGACTGGAGATGTGCTGCAGTAGCAAAGTTTCACAGTTATCTTGAGCAGGGACAAACTCTAGGTCTTCAAACAGCATGAAAAATAATTCTCAATGGAGATGAAAGAAAGAATTACCTGGAGGCCTATTTTTTTTTTTTAACTCTCTTTTATCCAAATAATAGCTGTTTCCATTTTCAGGCAGTTCTGACAGTACCCTCAAGAATGAGACATCAAGACATGAAATTTCATTTTTATAGAATGGGAAATGTGTGAATCTTATATAAGTTAGTTGACTTGTGGGGAATACTGTACAGTTGAAATTTTATCTTATAAGAGATTTAAAATAAAATACTCATCTTTGTTGCAGCTGTTCCACAGTTGCTGTTATTGTTGTTGTTTAGTTGCTAAACTGTATCCCCATGGACTGTAGCCCACTAGGCTCCTCTGCCCATGGGATTTTCTAGGCAAGAATACTGGAGTGGGTTGCCATTTCCTTCTCCATAGAGGCCTATTTTAGAATACAGATTCCCAAGACCTCTGGGCCTAATAAATTATAATCACTAAATAGGACCTGGGGAGACATAAAACTTTTTTAAAGCAACCGAGCTTTAAACTTGTGATTACAGAAGAGTCAGACTTTGTTCTCATGGCCCCAAAGGCCAGAATAAAAATCATGAATAGAGGGTCTAGAGAAACCAATACTGATTTCACAGTAGAGTTTTCTGCAAAGCCCACAGACAGAAGAGAAGGGCTCTCCACCATCACCAGGTGTCTGAGCAGAGGCTGAGGACCCAATGAGAGGAAAAGGGGGCCAGCTATGATGATGCAACTTACTGTGACCCAAGTCTGGTTTCATAAAAAAAAACAAACAAACAGGAAATAATAATCCTTATAAGAAAAATTACTGGTTGATACCTCATTTATTAATACTTGCTACAACTAAATTCTTCTATGCCTTTTTTCTTAGAGAAACAAAATTAGCCCTTAATGCCTCAAAACTATAAACACAGTTGTACATATGTGTATTTCAACATCATTCTGAGGGAAAGAATCCATAGCTTTTGTCAGCTCTTCAGAGGTGACTCTCAAAAAGCTAAGGTCCTTTCTAACCCAATGGTCAATATATAGCAGTTGATAAAAATTTTTCTGTAAACTGCCAGACAGTGTTAACTACCTTAGGCTTTGTAAGCCACATAGTTTCAGTCTTTTTTTTTTAAACTCTGTTTAAAAATGTAAAAATAATTTTTAGCTTGTGAGTTATATATACTAGGTTCAGCTCGGTTTGGCCTGGGGTCATAGTTTGGAATTCCTGACCTAGAGGCTGGACCATTTGATGGTTCTACCGGGTAATCCCCAGCTGCCTGCAACTCTCTACTACCTCAGTGTCTGACAACACTTCCATAGAAAAGCCTTTCTACAGTTAATGCAGAATTGTGCCTATGAATTGGTATTTTATGGTTAAAAAAAAAATACCAAACATGTTGCTGCTGCTGCTAAGTCACTTCAGTCGTGTCCGACTCTGTGTGATCCCATAGACGGCAACCCATCAGGCTCCCCCATCCCTGGGATTCCCCAGGCAAAAACACTGGAGTGGGCTGCCATTTCCTTCTCCACCAAACATGCTACTTCTCCCTAAATGTTGCTTGACAGATAAAACAAATAAATGTGGTGTGACAGATGAAAGATCGAGTGAGTGCTTCCCTGCAGCTGTTAAAGAACCCTCAGACTTTGTTAGTGACATCCTCCTCTAGGAGGTGACAGCAATCTGACCTACACTGCAAGTCAGCTCACATCAGGCAGTGAGCTACTTTCTCTCTCCTATTATGCTGGCCCACATCCTCTGTCACAGGAACAGCTCCTGGGCTTTATGTACTCCTGAGTAAGCTTCTGAATTTCTTTCTTTTTTTTTTTTTTAATTTCTATAAAGGAGGGACTTCAGCACAGACATCTGGTGAGAAGAGGACTTGTGGAGAGGCAGCCACTTTTTGGTGTCCCCACTGGTTTCATCGAAGACCTTCCATAAATTTGAAGCATCTTATTAAGCACTGCTGGAGGGCTGGAGCAAACTGTTCAGGTTCCAGGTTCAGCTCCCTCTCCCAACTGGTGGAAATGAACACTCAAATCTGTCAGGCATGGAGTGGTGAAACCAAAGTCCCTCACTGGACAAACTATGACTGAGTTTTGTAGGCTGGTTGAAGGATAACAGATCTCCCCTTCTGGTAATTATTTTCTGCTCAGCATCTGTTTTCTTTCAGGCTGTCCATTTTCTGTGGCTGTACATGTTATCTGGTGATGATGTAAGAATGTTAAACCCTAGAGGCTGCAATGCTCGTAAAGCACTCTGAACTGAGTGAAGGCTAAGAGCCTACTCCCTAACCTGGAAGACTGTATCACTGATAACAGGAATACACTCACTGTATAAGTGATTTTCCAAGTCACTAATAACTACTTGTTCTAGGTAAGAGTACAGGGAAACCTACCTTCAGGAGGCTCAGACATGGACGGGGTTAGACAATACATGTGGTAGCCACGATCGCAGTCATCACAGAAGAGCAGCTGATCCTAGAGGAGGTGAGATGGAAGAGGAAGGGGGAGGTGAATGACTCCCCTTGCCTGGGCCGCTGAATGGGTTAGGAGGGTTCTTCCAAGAGGGGTGGGGGCAGATGGCAGGAAGAACAGATGTGGGACCCTCTGGCTAAAAAACCACTGCTGTCCCGCTCCACCCAGAAAGTCAGTCATCCCACCGGGACCCCAACAGCCTCAGAAAAGACCTTGCTATCTAAATCAGTTATTCACTCACTCTAACAGTTAACCAAAATACTGGTTTCATTCTCTGCATGGAACATCATAAAGATGTCACTCATTTCCTTGCTAATTGCTTGTTCACACAAGAGTGTAAAGCCCATGAAAGTAGGGACGTGGTTGTCTTCAGCATCCTTAGTGCCTAAAACAGGGTCTGACACAAAGTAGATACTCCGTGAACACCTGCCAAACAAATCAAAGTTCCTACTGGTGGAAAGGACAGGAAAAGCTGAGCAGGAGTGTGCTGGGGTGGGGGTGGGGGGACACGCACGTCATTCTCGGAGGTGCCACAGATGTTGCAGCACTTGCACTCGATGCACTGCCAGCGGTAGGTCTTCACTGCCGCCATCATCACGGGGGTGAACTGGAGGCAGGACGGATGCCCTGTGGAGGAGAGCGAGTGGATCAGGGAGCTGAAGACTGGGAGCAGTGAGGTGACCTGGCTGTGAGAGCCACTGGATGCTGGTGAGCCATGGGCCCCTCAGGGTCTGGGTGCCGGCAGGGGCTGCACTGGCCCTGGGTTGGAGATACCTGAGCGGCCACAGTCAGAACAGGACACCAGCTCCTCGGGCTGTCCTGTCTTCTTGTTGATCTTGGAGTCCCCCAGGCAGAAGTCACAGTAGTTGTTGGGCAGGGCCAATCCATCAGGACCCTTCTTGGCTATAACGCGAAAGGGAAAAACTCAGATGATACCCACGTGGGCCTCTGGGTCTCTTGACATCCCTGCGAGGAGGGTTTTTCACAGCTAGGCTGACTCCCGCTTGCCCCACCTGACACCAGCTTACATTTCTGCTCCTCGGACCTCTGGGAAACTGGGGTGGGTGGCTGTGAGTCTTCTTTGTCCTCTCCCTCCTCCTCAGCCAAGTGGGAGTGGGCATAGTGGTAACTGAGGCCTGGTCGGTTCTTGTAACGTTTTCCACAAACTGAGTGGGGAGAAGATTGCAGAGAAAGGTGTTAGGATCTGAGGGTACCTCACCCCTGCCCCTCTAAGCTGTAGGCTCCACCTGAGCAGAGGTAGCCGCCCCCATCAGCTCTGCTCGGGACAGACCTTTACTGAGAGCCCCTCCCCGTGGCCAGGAACATCAAGCCCAGGTGCTCCCAAGCTTCCATGGCTCCTCCGCTTACTAAAGCCCAGAGCACAGCCATCTCTACTCCTCCACTCAAGCTGTCTGGGAGACTGAGCCCTTACCTTCTGCCTGCCCTGGGAACAGTTTGGGGAGGTCCAGGTCAGGAAGCAAAGGGACCTTCTAAGTTTTGCAATAATGGCAGGCAGGAGGAAAGCTAAGACTCTAAACTTTTTTACCTTTCAGTAAATGTAGGCTCATGCTACTCCCTATATACAACACAGCCCACCTCTGCCCAAATAAATAAGTAGGGGTGGATCTCTCGGGGAAAATCTATCATCTGAGTCTGCTGGGGTAGCTGTCCCCCAGAGAAACTCAAAGACATGCCCACATCAGTGCTCTGTCCAACCAACGACCCCTCAACCAGCAAGGAGAGCAGATCTCCAGGAGGCACCCTGTACCTTTGAACAGTGATACCAAGAATAGGGGGGTGGCAGGAAAGGAATGGGGAAGGGATGGGAAGGATGGCGGGATGATGGGGAACGTTAGCTGACCACCACATGTCTGTTTTGGGGAAGCGGAAGCAGAGGGATCTGGGATAACGGGTCCCTCAGAATGCTTCTGAAGCCACCCCATGCAGTGGGCCCAAGCAGCCCTAGAGCAATGTGGTGGAGACAAGCAGGTAGAAGCAGCTTCCAGGACTGTGAGGAGTGGACCGCAACAGAAGGTCCAGGGCTCCTATCTCCATGCCATTCCAGGGACCTTAACACTAGCATCACAGATGAGAAAGGCAGGAACAAAGGGAGAAGGGAAAAAGGGATAGGAAAACCAAAAGTCTGAGAAGTTGAGAGAGCTACCTCTCTGGGGCGCTTTCGAGGTATGCTTTTGTTTGAAACTATCTGAAAGACAGAAAGAAAAGTCATGAGAAGAGGGCCTTGGTACACTTAAGACAGGTACGGCAGCAGCAGGAAAGCAGAGCAAACGAGAGAGAAACCCCAGCAGTGACGGTGCTCCCAGGGTGGAGGGACAGAAGTGGGGTGAGTCAGAGAAAAGGGGAAGAGGGAACAGACGTTAGAAAAGTCAGCGTTGGACTCCTGGGGCCTGACTTGATTGGGGCCAGCAAGCCCAGATGTCATCTACTGAGAGGCCAACTTTGCCTGCTGTGTGTCCCTCATGGGCACCCCCACCCCAGAGGACAGCAGAAATCTCCCCCAGAGCATGCAAGGCTCACCCATCGTGCAGCAGAGGCCAGGGCCTCTCAGGGATCTCAGAGGGAACCAGTCAGCAGGCAGGACAAGAGTCCAAGCTTGTTTTACCACTTTCAGCAAGAATACAACTTTCCCTCCTCTCATATCCTGAGGAGCTGGGTCCAAGGCAAGGACTACCCACCCACTCGTGAGGCACTCACTGTCACAGGCATAGGGTTTGTCTCGATCCTCCAGGATGGAAGCGTCCAGCTTCTTACGGGCACTGCCCACACCTTTACTCTGCAAAGAAGTGCAAAAAGATGCCCTTACTAAGGTGTCTAGGCCTGAAGAGTTACTCTCCTGGTAGTGGCTGCTAATCTCATTCAGGAAGGATGACAGCAACGAGAAGCAGTAAGACAGTGGGACTCTGCAGGCTCCCCAACCCCCGGGGCTGCCCCTCACCTTGGACTTCCCCTTGCCCCGACGTTTGGGAGTATCTTCTTCATAGTCCTCATCGTCAAGGTCATCCAGGAAGTCATCTGGTTCTAGGATCCGCTGAGTAGACAGGAGGATTAGGATGGGCAGAAATGAGAACATCCAACAGCTCCCCCATGATGGGACTGGCCAAGGCTGCCAGAGCTGCCTCCGTGACCCAGCGGCTCCACTCCAGCTTCACTCCTCACTGCTGTTCTTTCAAGGCTTTGGGCTCTCCTTTCTCTGGGCCTTTCTTCATGTTGTTCCCCTAGCCTGGAATGCCTTTCTCACCATCTCCAAGTAGCTAAATCAAATGCCATGTTTTCATAAAACTTTCCCTGATGCCCCAAGTAGCATGCCCTCTCCTGCCTCTGATCTGCCACCTGGGAGCATGTCAGCAGCGGTTCCCTTCCAACACCTAACTTCCTAGAGTTAAACTGGAGCTTTGCTGCTTACTTGTGGCAAGTTTTTCTTTTCACTAATGTGGTGCAGCTCCCATGTATGTGAAATGGGCAATGGTACCTGTTTCCTAAGATTGTAGAGACTGCAGAAAATGATAGAAAAGCACTTAGCATAGTGCCTGACATATTTTTATGCACAGTTTTCGCTTCCTTGTTGGCAGGGACATCACCTATGTAACCCCAGGCACTAAAAAAACTCTGGTGGCAACATAAGATGAGATCTATAGTTACGAGAAAATGAACAGGAAAGACAGGATGGTAACAAGGAAGCCAGTCAGTACCCAGCGCTCATTAAGGAATGGGGCAGGAACAGAAGAGCAGGGGCCCCCCATGGCCCATAGCTTCTGCTGCTATTCTGATTACTGGGTGGCCTCTGATGAAGAGGAGACTGGTTTCCTCCACAGTTTCCTTAACCACAGTGTTAATTGTGTACCTTCCGTGCTCGACTGTTCGTTACAGGAAACTCGCCCAGGCTGTCATCATCAACTCGGGGATCGGGGGCGCCTCGCTTCTCCAGGGGGTCGGTGCGTAACAGAGCCTCTAAACTACTGCCGTCCTGAGAGATCAGCCCCTCCTTCTTCAGGGTCTGGTCTGTGTCTGCGGGCAAGGTCAGGAGGAGGTGTGGCTCAGAAGGGCTGAACACAGACCTACCTGGTCTACACAGTGTCAGACCAATCACAAGCCAGTCACTGTCTTCTGGTCTCTGGCTGCCCAGGAACCAAGATGCTTTGGTTTACTTGGCACCATAACTTATCTGTTTACTTGTCTCTTAACTATTAGACTGAATTCTTTACAGAGAGACTCACATCTCATTCATTTTGGTATCTTTAGAATCTAGCACTGGACCTGGTATGTAACAGGTGATTAGCAGGCCTCTGACTATGCAGAAGGGTATATCCACTCAGGGAGGTCTGTGCTTTACCTGGTTTAATAGATGGGAAAGAAAGTCTTGGATCCTCAGGAGGGTGGGCTCGCCGCTTTTTCCGCCAGCGCCGGGCAGGGTAAGAGTACAGCTGCCCAGAGGCCAATCCTAAGGAAGGAAGGAAAAGAGAGAAATCAAACCCTAACACAGCCCTAGAAAATAGTATCAAACACTTTCTACATGAGTAGCGTTCTAGAGCAAGGGAGGAATCTGGATGGTGAGCACCTGGGGCTGGAGGAGGCATGGCTTATGGACAAGGGAACAGATGTAAGCTCAGGGGCCTTGGCTAACACACAGCTCTCCAGAGCCCAGCAAGACCCTGAGCAGTGCAGCCCTGTGGAGAACAAAAGGTGCTTCAACCTCTCCAGGTTTCTAATCACGGGAGACCGCATGCATCCCTGGGGGAAAGCAACAGGGAAAACCCATTCAGCTGGCTCATCACCTAAGATGAGGAAGCCTCTCCCTCCCTGGGCTCCTGAGTGGACTCTCACCTGGGCCCCGATGTCGCTTTTCCATCCAAATATAACAGTTACTCTGGGCTACTCCCGTCTGTGAGTCCAAGAAAGGCAGGCGTACACTGCGCTCAGCACAGAGGCGGGCATTGTAATTGTGGCACTGCTCCATGGCATCTTTATAATACTGCTCCCCAAGCCTGCAGAAAAGACAAAACTCAGGTGTGACTGCACACGTGTGTGTTTATCTGCTGGGCTATCCCTTTCCCTTGCCATCTGCTTCTCTAGAAGGCTCAAGGGACTGGGAGAATGTTACTCTGCTTTTATTTGCTTCCATTTCTGCCTCATGGGACACCAAACCCCTTCACTAGGCCATTATGAGGAAAAGTACCTTACAAATAAATTACTGTCAGAGCGCATGATTGCACCCTGTTGTCTAAACAGTCCTTAGTCTAACCCACAAAGAGGGGAAGAAAATAATGTTCGTTCTGTGCCGCTCATGAATCCAACCCTTTGGTAACCAAAGTGCTACTTCTCTTACCCCTCAGGATTCTGAGAAGCTGAAGTTACTCCTGTTTATAAAGAGTTCAAAAGATCTGGGGAGACTTACTAAAGTTTAGCAAACTCCATCCATAAAAAGAAATTCAACTTAGCTATTAAAAAAAAAGGAAGCTCTTCATGTATAAATATTAAACAATCTCTAAGATAACTCAAAAAAAAAAAAAGGGGGGGGCAAATAAACTTCAAGTATTAATAGTTAACTTCAAAAAAAAAAAAAAAAAAAAGAAAGTTGTAGAAGGCCATGGGGGGAAAAAATCTCTAGAAAGGAATTCTATTAGTGGTCAGAACTGGCTAAGATTTGGGGGGGTACAGGGCTGAGGAGTGTTATGAGATGCTACCTTTTATGTCCCTAAGTGGTGGAAGAGAAACTGTAGGCATCCAAGAGAAAAACCAGGTGACTAGGGGACTTTCTCCTTTGTGCCATTCTATATCTTTTGAGTTTTAAACTAGGTATTTGCAAAGTAGCTAATTCTATATACTAACTTTACAACCAATAGAAAACATTTGGAAATATGTAAACACCCTTGAAGCCTACTTTCTGCTGAGTACCATTACACTGATAGAAAACCTATTTGCACAAAGGCCTCTTCTAGACCCTTCTCCATTCTCACACCATCAATTTTTTTTAAAGAAAACCTTTTGAACTCAAAAGACTTACTCTGAAATCTGAATTTTTTAAGCGCTTTAAAAAGCCACAAAACTGCACCATGCCAGGAGTTATCTGGTTCTAAGAAGCATCTATATAGAACCAACCTTGTCCTCATCCTTCAGGGTTTAACAAGCACAGTAATACTAGAGCTTAAACTAATTCAATTCACATTTATATATTTGAGCAAACTTTTTCTTTCCTCGCACTATGTGGCTTGAAGGATCTTAAAAGTCTGCCAACCAGGGATTGAACCTATGCCTTAGCAGTGAAAGCGCCGAGTCCTAACCACTGGACCACCAGGGAATTCCCCTTGATCTTAAAGTAAATAAACAAACTGAGGGCAGATTTCTTTCCCACAAGATCCTCAGCACCCATGAAGGTGTCTGGAATATCCTGACTCATAAGTAAAAAGACCTGGCTTGGCTGCAAGTCACCACATAAATGTGGACATTTAGTCTACCCACATGGACCTCAGGTATGCTACTGACTGCTGCTGCTGCTGCTAAGTCGCTTCAGTCGTGTCCGACTCTGTGAGACCCCATAGACAGCAGCCCATCAGGTTTCCCCGTCCCTGGGATTCTCCAGGCAAGAACACTGGAGTGGGCTGCCATTTCCTTCTCCAATGCGTGAAAGTGAAAAGTGAAACTGAAGTTGCTCAGTCGTGTCTGACTCGTAGCGCTGCCATGGACTGCAGCCCACCAGGCTCCTCCGTCCATGGGATTTTCCAGGCAAGAATACTGCAGTGGGGTGCCTACTGACTAGGGAGGCTGAACTAGATAAGCTCTGACATATTCTACAAGAGGGAGACTCCAAGCATGAGAAGTTGAACACAGCAAATCTCTGTTGCTTATGTTCATAACTCAACCTGCAGCAACAAACCCTGCTCTGGAATCTAAGAGCAGCTTTCATGGGGCAGCCACAATAGACCACTGAGGCACAGCTTAGAACATTCCCAACAACCGACAAAGACACACACTGCACGCAGGCAGTGACACCACAAGACAGTCTGGCTTGAGTCAATGTGCTGTAATGACTGTAATCTGAGGTAGGCACGAAGCCTGTGCTGGAAAGTAAAGAGAAGGAATAGGCTCATATTTGCTCGCCTTTAGGAGGCAGCCACGTCCTCACTAAACAGAGGAAAATTGGATAAACAAGGCTAAGTGCGGCAGAGCCTTTGTTTCTGCTGATGGAAATTGATACTGACACTGTAAGTCAGATGGAAGGAAGGGCTAGACAGGCTGAGAGCTGCAAAGTCAGAGCAAGGAGGCTGGAAACTGTGTGGCGGGGGGGGGTGGGAGTTGAGATATGGATGAGAGAGAGATGTTCTATCAAAGCTCCTGTGAGTTAAATGGGATTTCAGAAGGTGGGGCAAACTGCATTGTGAGTGAGAGAGCTGATAACGAAATACAAGTTGGAGGAAGAGAGGATCTGATGAGAATAAAGCAAGGAAGAATGAGAGCTCTCTTAAGAATCTAAGGCTCCTACTGCAAGAAATTTTAAGCTAACATCATTCTTCAGATCTTGTTACCTAACTCAGAGGATTTCAAAACCAGTCAGCAACCACAGCTCTTTTATACTATTATTTTGCCCTGGTAAGATCCGTTAAAGATTGTTTCAATTCTGACACCACATTTGGGAGGGACAGAGAATTTACAAATAGGAAAATTCTTCTCCCAGAACAAGATGCAAGTCAGAAAAGATGAGCTAGCAGTCCTGACCTCAATGTAAAACCTCAGCAGTCAGAAGACTAGGCACACCGTGGTCAAGAAAAGCATCTCTTTTCAGGATGAGAACGGTACAGGAAGACTGGAAACCTCTTTTTAAAGAGCAGGTTCTGTAGGCAAATGTATTACTGTGGTCCACAGCTCTTTACAGGTAGAACGAGGAGCAGAAAGTTGGTTATTTATTACTGGTACCCAGGAATCAGGAGTTGGTGACCCTCACTATCTCTACAGACCTTTAAAGAGAAACAAGTTCTATTTAAACCTGCAACCCCTCACTACCAATATTGCATAAAAGGGTTGGTGACCTTATTTCCCAGATGAAAGTCTTCCAACATAAACAATCTCACTATGTAAAACTTAAACCTAGGCAAGTTTTGACATTCCCCCATTACAGTAAGCTTTCCAAGGTAGAAGCTTTGATTCTTTTTCGAGAGGCATGAGACCTGTGTAAAACCTCCCTTTACAATGGGACAGGGGTAGTCAACAAAGAGAAAGGCAGGGAAACAAAGAAAGAACATCTGAGTCAGTATGGATAACATATAAATGGTAGATCAGCAGCGTCATTTCTAAATTGAGGGAAATGTCAGCTTGGAGAGAGAGCTGGGGAAACTGAAGTGGGCAGATCAGAGAGGAAGATAATAGTGTTGGGAGGAGGGGTGGCTGAAAGAGGCAGCAGGATGGAGCTGAAAGCATGTTAGGAAAAAAAAAAAAAACCACACAACCAAAAAACCCACAAGGAGAAGGCACTTAGCTTAATGGAAGTGGGAAAGCATTCTCAAAGAAAAGGCTCCAGGCAGGGGGAGGGAGAGAAGCAATGTACCCTTAGAAAAAATGCTCTTGTGAAGAGTGGGGCTCAGTCTACTACAAAGACAGATGAGAAGCTGTGTGCCCCTTAGAACAGTTCCCAAACCTTTACCTTCTCACCCAGTCAAAATCCAAAAGCCAAGCTGGACAACTGGACACCTCATTTTTCCTACCCCTGCACCAAGCCAAATGTATCCATTAAAGAGCTTACTATTGGCCGACGGGGGTGGGGGGCAAGAACCCACTGCAAAACTCATTTAGATTCTTCTTCGGGGAGGAGGCTGGGTTAAATCAAGTCCCAAAGCATCTTTAACTCACAGCTAACAGGCCATTCTCAGTTTGCCAAACCACCATGAACTTTAACTTCGCTTGAAATCTGCCCAGTCCAAGAGTATTGCAAAGCGAAGACGGCCGACCTAGATGCCCCTCGGGGCGGCCAGGGCATACTGGACTGCGTCCGTCCAGTGCCCGCTTTCTGATGGTTGGGACTGGCCGGCGCCAAGCCCCTCTTCCCTGAAGTTCTTTCCCTCTGTATCTGCTCCTCCACAAATTCTTCCCAGGAATATTTTTGGTCTCGGGTACCTGATACTCAAGGACCACCCCACCCCCGCCCCCGCCCGCCCAGGAACGTCACGGGGCTGTTCAGAACAAAACAGCCCTGAGCGCTTAACGGCGCCAGGGCGGCCGAGCCTGTTCCTCCGGGGCCCGCTGCGGGCAGCCTATGAGGAGGGGTCGGCGGCCGGGCTTCGCGGGGGTCGGCTCGGCTCCCCCGGACTGAAGCGCACCCGGGACCGTCTCTCGTACGCAACAAGGGGGCCATATTCTGGAAACCTTCCGCCTAAAGGAGCGCCCACCCCACAGGGAGGCTGCCCGTTAGGGGCTCCCGTGTGCCCCCCTCAGGGCCTCCACAAGTTTCTAAAGAAGCGCAACGTCTTCTCCCGAGTCTCCTGTTGCCCTCCCCTCTAGGAGTCGCAACACGGCCTCTCCGGGCACGTCCCTCTCTCCGCCTCGTCCGTTCCCACACCGCCCCCTGCTTCCAGGTCCCTTACAAGACCTCCCAACCTAGAAGAGAAAGAAACGGCCACTCACAGCTTCACTACATTTTCCACCACAGCCGCCATCTTCCCGGCTCCTCTCCCTCAGGCCGGGAGGCCCAGAGCCCGCAGCGCGCAGGCGCTGGGACCGCAGAGGGAACCAATTTCCTTGTCCTTCTGCGCAAGCGCCACCCGGGCGCCTGCGCCCGAGAGCGAACGACGGAGAATGAGCTTCTTGGCCGGTTCTCCCCGGCCTGGAAACCCGGGGACGAATGCGCAGGCGCAATAGAGGCGGGCGCGCGCCCCGAGGCTTCTGCTCCTATTTTGCCTCATCCGTTTAGTGAGAAGCGAGAAGGGAGGGAGGATGTGACCAGGTCCAGAAATGAGAAGGTGAGAGGTTGGTGAGAACTGGCAAGCCCAGAGGTGGTCTAGATGGAGGTCATGCGTCCTGTTACCTCGCCGACCTTTAACCTCGTGGTTAATAGCCCTTTGCCCTCACGTACAGACTAGGGTTTGGTGGGTAGCCGAAGGTAAGAGCAGTGCACACTCCTCTTGGGCTGCCCATTTTAGGGAGAGAAAGATTAACTCCAAGAATCTGGCAAATCTTTAGCCCGAATATTGGGGTCTGACAAAAGTTCCCCCACCTTCCTGCCACCAACTTAATTGATCCCCACCTCTTCTCTCCTGCTTCCTACCCCTAAGCTCTTTTCCTTCTCTGAAGAACTTCTCTCCTGCAGCTTCCTCTCCTGTACCATTCACTTCTCCTTCACTATTGAATCATGCAAATTCATCTGCAAACATGGCTTAATATCCTCTTTAAAAAATATCAGAGCCCTTCCTTAAGCCCTTTTTGCCTTTATCACCCTCTTTCTTTCCACCCTTTCAGAGCACATATTCTGTTATACTTACTATCTCTGTTGATTTATTTCCAAGTGTCTCTCTGTTAATGGGGATTTTGTTCTCATCAGTTCATTGAAACATCTAACAAAGACACCACGATTTCCATTTCAACAGATTTAGAGATCTCCCTGTCTTTATCAGCCTATCAACCCCCATGACAACAGTGGCCATTCACTTCTTTTTCAAACTCATCTCTGAGACACACACTCTCCTGGGTGTCTGCCTGTCACACTGGCAGCTCCTTCAGCTTCTTTTGCTGGCTCTCTATCCTCACATCTACCTAGACCCATCAGAGTCCCCAGGGCTTGGTCTTTCATCCTGGTAATATGCCATATTTCATCAATTCTAAGATGCACATATTCTCTGCCCCCCCCCCCCTTTTAGTATTTCAGAATCAGGACACATCTTACCATCATTGTGCCTTAAAATCAAGTTTGGCAGGTGAGAGTTGAGTGATATTTGTCATTGTTTACCCTGCACCAAATTTGCGGAATAGATGTTAGCAGCTTGGAAGGAAAACCTAGTGACAATACTGTTGCACTCTTGTTCCCCAAATGATTCTGGGAATCAAAGGTGACGCCAAAAGAATTCAAAAGTATGTGTTTCAGCATGAATGTTTGTGAAAAGTGGAAGTGTTAGTTGCTCAGTTGTGTTCGACTCTGCGACCCCATGGACTGTAGCCCATCTGGCTCCTCTGCCGGTGGAATTCTCCAGACAAGGACGCTGGAGTGGGTAGCCATTCCCTCCTCCAGGGGATCTTCCCAACTCAGGGATCAAATCCCAGTCTCGTGCATTGCAGGCAGATTCTTTACTGTCTGAACCACCAGGGAAGCCCCCACCCCCCAATTCATAGGTTTAAGTCCTACCCACTAAGTCTGATATTATTTGGAGGTGGGATCTTTCAGAGGTAATTAAGTTTAGATGCAGTCTGAGGGTGGAGTTCTCATGGTGGGATTGGTGCCCTTCCAGAAGAGGAAGCTGGAGATCTCTCCATGAGGAAAGGCCACGTGAGGACCCAGCAAGAAAGCAGATGTCCACAAGCCAGGAAGTGGAATTCCATCAGGAACCAAATTTGCTGGCACCTTGATCTTGGATTTCCCAGCCTCCAGAATTGTCAGAAATAAATATCTGTTGTCTATGGTACTTTGTTAACAACAACCTGAGCTAAGACAGTGTGCAAGCACTGAAGCTGAACACACACATACCCTCTGACCCAGCAATTCTGTTCGTGCATGCATATATGAAAAACCATGTATAAGAATGCTCACAACAGTATTAATTGTATTAGCCCCAAACTAGAACATTCCAAATGCCCATAGCACTAGAGTGGATTAAGCAACATGGAGAAGAACAAACTATTGCTACACAACAACATGAATGAATCTCAAAAACTTAATATTTGAAAAAAAGAAGCCAACTTCCAAAGAGGACATATTGTGTGATTCCATTTATATCAAATTAAATAATCACACATGCTAAACTATGGGGGCAGAAGTCAGGAAAGTGGTTCACTTTGGAAGATAATAACAAGGAGGGGACATAAGGTGGCTACCAAGGTGCTAGTAATATTGCTTTTCTGGGTTACACAAGTTTGTTCACTTAGATTCATTGACCTACCCAAGATTTGTGCACTTCTCTGTAGGTATGTCTCAATAAAAGTTTTTAAATAAAAGATATTAGTGATGATAATTAGCCTAGTTCTCTGTTATTGGAAAGGCAGTTTATGAGCCCAGTACCAGTGGCTTTTGAGTCTTAGGATTTTTTCTTTCTTTTATTTATTTGGTTGTGCTGGGTCTTAGTTGCCATATGTAGGATCTCTGATCTTTGTTGCAGCATGTAGGATCTTTAGTTGTGACATGTGGACGCTTTGTTGGGGCATGTGGGATCTAGTTCCTTGAGCAGGGATCAAACCTGGGCCCCCCTGCATTGGGAGTGTAGTCTTAGCCATTGGACTACCAGGGAAGTCTCTCTGTTAGGATTCTTTTAAGAAATGCTCTCTCACTGAACAACAGAGCCTCTATATGCTCTGAACCAGTGACTGATACATATAGTGTTTCTCTTACAGACAGGAACCAAGAAGTGGAAGTGGGGGTGCAGCGTCTTGCAATTTCAGCTAATGGTTCTTTTGCAAAATGTTTGTTTTCTGTTCTCGCCACTCTGGGCTCTGGCTGATCCAGAGCCTTTAGGACACAAGGGAGGAAGGCTTCCACCAGGGGGCACAATAATAATTTCTCTGAATTATTAACAGAATCTGAGATTGCCAATGGGCTGTTTTGAGTTCTACCTGTCACTGGGCAAGAAAGTAAAAAGGAAGTATCATTGATGGCTGGGGTGATTGATTCTAATTGTTTAGGGTAAACAGGATTGCTGTTACCCATTGAGGACAAAGAGAAATGTAAACAAAACCCAGGAGATCTTTCTAATATCACATTCAGGTAGTTAATGGGAGACAGGCCTCCTGGTTGGATATTTAATTCCAACCTTTCTACTGAAAAGAAAATAAAAAACAGAGGAAAAAGTCTTTTAAAAAAAGGAAAAAAATCTTAAAAGCATTGACAAGCTAATAATATAGTGAAGAATTACAGCTCCAACATTTAGAAAGTTGAAACACAGAGCTGAAGCCCAGAATTCAGGACAGTTTTTGTCTTGGGGACATTTACTGATCTTGAAGATATAACTGAAACTGAGCTCTTATTTGGTGGTCTTTGGTGGGGAGGGTCAAAATCAAAACTCAGAGCCTGCGCAAGGTCAGATGCCCCACTACTAATACATATATACTTTAAGATGTGATCCCAACATCAATAGACTAGTAGTCCCGGGAACTCAAGCCTTGAATTTGGATTAAAGTGGACCCATCCTTATAATGCCTCTGCTCACCTAGTAGAACTGAGCATGTTTGAAATGAAGCAGTATCCTTTTTGAAAGAGCGTACTGCCATCGAAGGCCTTAAATTATGTCTTAAAAGTGCTTTTCCTATACAGTATCCAGCACGTAGTCAAAGACAATCAGGCACAGAAAAAAACAAGGAACTTTGCATAAGAACAGACTGCACCCAATAGAAAGCACAAATTGACCTACAGAGATTACAGATGCTGGAATTATCTGATACCGACCATAAAAGAACACTGCTTACTGAGTTTAAAGAAGATAAAGACAAGCGTAAAAGTATCTGCAGGTGACAAATTTCTGTTAAGTGTCACAACAGAATTTTTAAAGAATCACATCGAACTCCTCCAACTGAAAAATACAATAACCGAAATTAAGAACACCATAGATTGGTTAAAAAGAAAATTAGACACGGCTGAAGACAGAACAAGTGTGCTACCAGAGTGGTCCCCAACCATTTTGTCACCAGGGACCCATTTCGTGGAAGACAAGTTTTCCATGGACTGGAGGAGGACAGGATGGTTTCAGGATGATTCAAGTGCATTACATTTATTGTGCACTTTATTATTCTTACATCAGCTCCACCTCAGATCATTAGGCATTAGATCCCAGAGGTTGGGGATCACTGAATTGTATGATATGCAGGAAGATACTATCATGTCCTTAATACAGCATGGAAGACATATGGACAGGAAATACAGAATTAGAGTAGAAACAGAGGATAAATATAGAGATCTAAGATGGTGAAGAGAAAGAAAAGGTGTAAAGGCAATATTTAAAGAGAAAATGATTAATAATTTTACAAAAGTGATGAAATACACTCAGTCACTTTGAAGAAGACAAATAAAGCCCAAGAAAGCTAAAGAAAGACTTAACAGAAATAAATACTGACAAGTCGTGATATCTGTAACTTACTTTCAAAAGGTTGGGAAAAAAGTTTTTAAAGAGGGAAAGCAAATTAGGAAAAATGGTACTAATTGGCAGATCTAGATGCAGATATGTGGGTGTACATTGTTACTGTTGTTCAGTGGCTACACCATGTCCAGCTCTTTGCCACTCCTTTGTGGGAGTAGAATCTGTAGGGAGTATGTACAACTCTATACAAGCTGAAGGGGGAAGCTCCTTCACTCCACCTCTGCCCACCTTAGTCCCAAGTTTAGATAGTCTGATGCTTCAGTTTCCCCATCCAGTTCCCTTTCTCCGCCCAGGCATGGTAGCCCCGAGTGGGTTCCCAGAGTTCTTTGTGCCTGTTAGGTAGGGAGCAATTCTGAGGACCTGGGACAAGAAGGTCCGCCTTCCATGGCCACTTTATCCTCATCTCAGGTCCAAGGTGACAGGCTGTTTTCTGGCTGGGTGAAGCTATAAGGAAGGTGTCATGTTTCCTGTCTTCCCTTCTCGGGCAGATGCGGCCAAGCTACCCAAAAACTGCGGGGGAGCCTGCAAGCAAGACGGTGCTGGCCTTCAGCTCCCCCCACCTGCCTTCATATTTTACCAGGGCCTGAAAGCTGAGCACCAGTGGGAATAGAGGGTTGCAATCAAGTACGGGCTTTGGGGCCTCACAGACCTGGGTTCAAAATCCCACTACAGATGCCGCAACTCCTATTCTCTAAATAATGGCAAAACTTTCAGATTAAAAATAAAAAGTCTGGTGGTGGGAATGTAAAATGGTGCAGCTCTAGTGGAAAATGGCTCTTCCTTAAGAAATTAAATATAGAATAATCATAGGATTCAGCAATCTCACTTCTGTACACGTCCCAAAGAAGTGAAAACAGAGATTCAGATATATGTACACCCATGCTCATAGCAGCATTATAGCCAGATTGCCAAATAGCACAATTGCCAAAGGGTAGAAGCAACCCAGGTGTCCATTGATTGGATAAATGGATAAACAAAATGTGGAATATGCAATGGAATATCGGGTACTAAGTCGCTAAGTTGTGTCTGACTCTTTATGACCCTGTGGACTGTAGCCCACCAGGCTCCTCTGTCCATGGGATTTCCCAGGCAAGAATATTGGAGTGGGTTGCCATTTCCCTCTCCAGGAGATCTTCCTGACCCAGGGATTGAATCTGTGTCTCTTACTTCTCTTGCATTGGCATGTGGGTTCTTTACTACTAGTGCCACCTGCAAAGCCCAATGGAATATTACTCAGCTTTTAAAAAGAATGAAATTTCCGTGCCTGCTACAGCATGGATAAACCTTGAAGTTGCCATGCAAAGTGAAATAAGGCAATCACAAAAAAGACAAATACCATGTGATTCCACCTGTGTCAGGTGCCTAGAGAAGTCAAAGTCATGGAGACAAAGTAGAAAGGTGGCTGCCAGTGGCTGGGGTTGGGGGGATGGGGAGTTAGTGTTTAATGGGTATGGAGTTTCACTTTGGGAAAAAAGTTCTGGAAATGGATAGTGGTGATGGTTGCAGAATAATGTGAATGTATTTAATGCCACTTAACCATATGCTTAAAAATGATTGAAATGGTAAATATAATGTTATATATGTTTTATCAGTTTTTAAAAAATCACTGAAAATTAAAAAGATAGTATGACCAAGAAAAATGTCCCCTGCTCCAATTCTGCCTCTGCCTCTAGTATGAAATCTTGGCCTAGAAGCAGGAAAGCCTGGAGGTGAGGTGGGAGTCAGTTTTGTAGGGTCAAAAGGATGGAAGGGAGGGGAAAAGAGTGGGGTCACTGAGGCCTCCAGACACCAAGCCGCACCCTCTTTCTCAGTCCCCACTTGGGGCCAATTCTCTTCCTGCAACAGCTTTTTCCTCTCTAATCTGTGGTCCATCTCCCACTCAGCCTCTGTAGTGACCCTTCTAAAACCTGGGTCTGACCACGTATCTCTCACGTATCTCTCCTTCTTAAACTCTTTCAGCAGCTCCCATGGCCTCAGCTTCAGTCTTGCAAGTAGAACAGTTCTAAACTGACTCTGAAACTGTTTTTCCAGCTTCACAGTCCTGTCTTTCCTGAGCCCTGAGTTGCTTTAAGTCATACATCATAACCGTGTTTGAATACCTTCCATCTGCAAATAAAGAAATGTTACCCCTGATTTTCTCAGCAACCCTGCAAGGCAGGTGTCACTGATTCCCATTTTAGAGATGGGGAAACTGACTCTCACAAGACTAGGTTGGACTCAGAGACCTAGGCCCTTTTGGCCATGCTTTGGATTCTCTCTCATTCACTCAGGTGCCTCAGTGCCTTTGTTCAAGAATGAGCATAAGCCCGTCCACCCTCAGATTTGGCTCAGAATCGTGACACCACCCCACCCTGCCCCAGGCATTCATGATCTTGGTGTCTTTTTCACAGTGTTCAACACTGTTGAAAATGCCCTTGATAACAGATTTGCTATCCTTCCCCCGACTAGACTATGAGCTCCAGAAGAGCAGGGGGTCGTGTCTGTATGTCTTCTGGTGCCCCAGCACCTGGAGCACATGCGGTGCACTGTAGACCAAGAAGAAGCACTGATGAGATGAGTTGGATCCCTCCCAGTGCCAGGTCTAGCCTGCCCTTCTGCGTGCTCCCTCAGTCCTCTGACACCAGAAAAGCTGTTGGTCCCTTGCACTGCTGCTGCTGCGTCGCTTCAGTCGTGTCCGACTCTGCGACACCATAGATGGCAGCCCACCAGGCTCCCCCGTCCCTGGGATTTTCCAGGCAAGAACACTGGAGTGGGTTGCCATTTCCTTCTCCAGTGCATGAAAGTGAAAAGTGAAAGTGAAGTC